CTGGCAGATGTGTTGCTTCTGCTTGTTCATTCTCCTGCCGTGAAACCTTCAGGAGGAACCACATGGAACCACGAGGAGCGGCGGACAGACACGACCCTCAGGGAAGACGGCAGCTACGTTTTCCACAGAAGCGATAAAGAGGCGACCACAACCAAAGCCCATACAGAAGGTGGACGCAGAAAGAGTTCAAGGAGTCTTTGATACGTGATGCGGCATCCAGGCGGTGGTCTATACCAAAGGACTCCACTACAGTGCTGCAGGCTGCGCTGAAGACGCCTCAGTGAGGGTCCTTCACCCTTGGGCATGGCAATGATGTAATAGCAGTTTGCCAGTAACAGGGTGACGGGTGCTGTCTGTGTAGCATGGACACGAGCTGTAGTTGCAACGGTTCGCCACAGGGTGGAGCTGTTTTACGGCGCCGGTGGAGGAGAGGGGTGGGGCTCGTGGGCGTCGGAGGTGCTTGGTGCCGTGCCTGGGTGCTCTTCAAGGAGCTTGATGATCTCGGCGTGGGGGGCCTTTGACGCCAAAAAGAGAGCGGTGTGTCCTTCCTGAAAAACAGAGCAGAGGGAGGACGTCAGAGTCAGCATGACGCCACTCTGCCGATCATTTGAACCGGCACCTTCCTGATCACAGAGCACATTGACCCACCCACTGTCTCATTCGTGGTCCTCCAAGGTGCCACAGTAATTTTTGGCCCCCTGGGAAAATGCCCAGTATGGCAGATGGCCCGTGCAGCCCTGCAGGGCACTCATGCGAAAATTCAGAGAACATGGCACACACATGGTGCTGGGCTGGGAATCAAACCTACAACCCTGGAGTCAAACTGCTTCCCAGTGAGCTTCCCATCCAAGGTAATTACATTAAGGGCTTTAGTATTAATGACTATACTGTGATCGGCTCGGATCCATTGGCTCATTTTCAGGAGAGTAAACTGCAGTGAGGACCCGATCCAAGCTGCGCCCCCCCACCCCCCAAATGCATAATCCATTCACAGCTTCTCAGCAGAAATAATTCCTCCTAAGAGGGATTAGCAAACCTCACCTACTGAGATTTCATGACTGTTGCTAACCAAACTGCTCTATTCAAACACAACCTCACGGTCACACCTGACATCCTCCTGCACTGTGGATTCGCCAGATGCAGAACCTCAAGGTCTCACGAAAACACGTTTCATTTGATCCACTTGTCATTTGAATGTCAGCAGCGTTTTTTTGTTTGTTTCAGAACTGTACTTTGCAGCTGCGTCCAGAAGGTGTCACTGTTTGCACAGTAAAAACGAAAAAAACGGAGCAATTGGAATTTGGCTTGAATAAGTCTCACCCTGCGCAAGTTAAGTTGTACCATGTGTTTTTGGGAAACCTGATACAATGTTTTGAGTAAAAACTGGGCAAATAAGAAAGAATATTCATCAACATTAAGTCACTTTGACAGAAAATAAAAGCTGCCAGAAATTTTTAAGGTAAACTGGGTCTTATCTATTATAATTTGGCATCCAGAAAAAAATATAGCTATAAGCAGCCGACAAACAGATAAACCTCAGAGAAATGCCTGACTCATCCAAGTGAACACAAGCTAGAAGCAGTTATCTCTGTAAGTCTGTGTTTTGTGATCCCGACCTTGTCCACAAGGTGGCGGTCACAGCCCCTCTCCAGCAGAAGTCGGGCAATCTCTGCATGGCCCTGCTCACAGGCACACATGAGGGCCGTGTATCCGTCATGGTCCTGGGTGTCGACGTCCGCCCCGCAGGCCAGCAGGACCCGCACCATGGCCGTGCGGCCGTGACTCGCGGCCAGCATGAGCGCAGTCTGTCCCGCCTGCGTGGAAACGAAAACGGAAACAAGCGTTCACCGGAGAGGAGGATGATAGGAAAAGGTGCGGTGAAATGGTGGGGAGAAGGGAAAGGTGGGATCGCACAAAGAAATAGAAATATGGAGAGAGAAACGGGAAAGGGTTTGAAAGCCCTTCATTAATGTTATTTGCATCTCTGTTAAGCACTTTGGGGCAACTACATTAGGAAGGGGGCTATATACAAATAAATTGAATTTAATTTAATCTACAAAACATTTCACATGGGAGATCGTTTTCCAGACGCAAGCTGATGCCTGTTGTGCTTTTCTACTTAAAAAGGTATATGAAATGCTTGTATTTACATTTTATTTATTTATCAGTACATTTTTAAGAAAGAAGGGTTACTTAATCCCTGGAGGTGTTGAGTTTAAGGACCTTCCTTTTAGTTCCAGTGATGAAGTAACTGTTGACAGCAGAATTTGAACCTGTGACCTTCTGATTATAGGCGCAGAGGCCTAAGCTGCACGCTACCCCATGAAAGGTGTTATTGATTATAGTCCACAAAGAGGAGAAAGCTGGTCTGTCTCTGGATGCAGGGCGGTTGTGGCACGCGGCTGTACCTGGCTGGCCTGGGCGTTGACGTCCCCCAGCCTGAGGAGCTGCAGTGCCACCTCCACATCATCCGGCCCGTCGGCAGCGGTCAGGGAGGCTAGCATGACGGCGGTGTAGCCAGCCTTATTCTGGTGGTCCACATCACAGAGGCCTGCAGGAACAGCGCACGACACAGTGTGACATGCCTTGCGCCTGCAGATAAACTTCACAGGACCGCACCCACCAAGCTTTTAACATTTAGAACCAGAGCACCCCCTGGTGGCAAGACAACCACATTACCTGTGTCCAGGAGCAGCCTCACAATGGCGAAGTTGGAGTGCGACACGCTATAGTGGAGCGCGGTGTTGCCATTGCCGTCTGCGAGGTTGATGAGGAAATGAAGGAGCGTAGGGGCGGTGAAGGCCACCTGCTTCAGGTACAGTGTCACCGTGTCCACCAGCGAGTCCATCTGGCTGGACACGCGGAACCACTCCTGGTAGAGCACCATCAGGACCTGCCTCTAGGGGGCGATAAAGGACCACAGTTCACTGCACGACACCCAACGTCAGCCCTACTTTCCAATGATTATGGCTTATCCATGTAAACAGACCCACTATTTCTGAGAATTTTTGTACTTTCTTGAAAAAAGCTGAACCAAACTGCTGCATTTGTTGAACGGAATATGTAATACATCTGTTTTTCTTGACTCTAGGTCTTAGTAATTCTTCAGTAAATTGTAAACTTCAGTAAATTGTATACTGTAGTTAATTATGTGCCGTAGGTACGTCCTAGACACTCTTTATATTTTACCATTTCTTTGTCGGGGGAGCTGATTTCTGCCAGCCGGTCTTTGAGGTAGATGCAGGCCTCCATGAAGTCTTCATCTACCGTCTCCCTGGAGCAGGAGCGACACACACAGCTCAAGGGCAGCCAGCACGGTCCAGCACAGACTACAACCAGACTCTCTGGTTTCTGGGAACGGCGGCAGTGTCTCTATATTTGGTAGTCTACAATCATGGGACCGTACACTTCATTTTTAATGGGTATTTTTACCAGTGACCCAGCTAAAGGAAAATAAACCTATACTGTGATGCTACTGCAAGGCTGGGATTCATGTTTCCTCCCACGTCAGGAGAATATATGAAATGATATATCAAAGCTGAGGCCTCCACCTGGCCTGGGTATGTAGGTCACTCCTCTCTTCATATATTAAAAAGTCTGTCAGCACTTCCTTCATATTGACTTCCAGGCCAAGCAATGCAAACAATGAGCGGAATTGTGTCCATCTCCTATCAGCTACTCCTGCCTGGGAAACGCCATTGGGGCGTGTCCAATGTGCTCCCTCAGTTGGCCTGAGATCAGATGAGTTGCCGTCACGCGGCTGTGCAGCGTTGTTGGTATGCAGCTGATGAGGCCGTGGTCGTCATTGACCTACCCTCTTGGCGGCTCATCCTGGGAGCCCGCACATGGGACCGGGGTGCTCGGGTCACCGTCGGATCCCGCCGCCTCCACATGCACGGGCTCCTGCGGGCTGGTGTCGCCAGATTTCTCCTGCTCCTCGGGCTCCGAACTGTCATCCACGTTGTCCTCACCGCTGGACTCCTCGCTGGAGGTCGTCTCGTAGCTGAACCGAGGGCGGAACGTGAAGGAACAAATCAGGAACCCTGGGTTTCCCAGTGTTGGGGGTGTCTGGGTGCAGGGGCAGTTCTGGCAGGGGTCAGTGACAACATACATGACCCCACCTGTGGCCCCGCTAAACAAGAATGCTACATGGGTCTAAAATAAATGTATTATTATTTTTATTACTCTTATTAGTATTTACATTTATATATGTGGGTTAAAATTCCGTGTGCTGGGACATAACAGTCAAATGCACCTGGGCCAGTCTGCCCCCCCCCCCCAGTTGAAATGATCTAGAACCGCCAATGTCTGGGTGTGTCTTCAAAAAGATGCTTCTCTTAATGGAAGTCTATGGTGTGAAAGTGTATTCCATGCCAGAACGCCAAGGTGGGTCAAGACAGGACAGGGTATGACATGTAGCTGAATGTAGACAGATGAGGACAGGGTATGACATGTAGCTGAATGAAGACAGATGAGGACAGGGTATGACATGTAGCTGAATGAAGACAGATGAGGACAGGGTATGACATGTAGCTGAATAAAATTTGAAATGGAGGAAGGGAATCCACATTATCTTCCTGATAAAGGATGTCTGCCTTGATGGCTAACAGGCTAGCAGCATCCCTTTAATTCAACAAGTACAGAACTACACATCCTCCTGGCAGCAGTTGTTATATTGATGTGTGTGTGTGTGTGTGTGGGTGGGTGGTTGTTTTTTTTGTGGGGTGGGGGCTCCGAAGGGATCTTCACAGGATGCTTCTGGGGTCGATGATACGCCACACTGACCAAACAGCTGTATTAACTGGGGAATTTGCGGCAACTAATAAACACCATCTACTGTTTCTTTTAATATGGGGGCCGGGGGGGTGACGGGCTGGGTTCTCGTGTTGGGAGACTCGCAGACAGAGATGACAGGCGGCTGGCGGGAGGCACACAGCGGGGGTGGGGGGGGGGGGGGGGGGGGGGGGGGAGGGGCTTTGTTCTGGGCCCGGTTTCCACTTCCGGCCCGGTTTATATAAACACCGGGCCGCACTCTCTGGGCGGCCGGACCACCTGGGGGACCATGGCAGGCGTTCAGACAGCGAGGGGGTAGCAAACGGGTGGGGGGGGGGGGGGTGTACAGGGCCGGTGAGACGGACAACCAAACGTACCCCCCATTCACGCCGACAAACTTGAGGTTCTTCTTGCCGCCGCTGCTGCCACTTCCTGGCCGGCTGCCATCGTCGTTCTTCTTCATGATGGACTTCAGGCCTGAGGAGAGGACAAAAAAAACACTGTCAGAGCACCGGTGTGGGGGGGGTACCTGTCAATCCGGAACGAACCCCAGGCTGGACTGGCCAGCTGGCATACTGGTATTTTCCCAGAAGGCTGGTGAAAAAGGCAAAAAAAATCATTGTGGGGCTGTCCATCCCCTAACCCCCCCCCAGCTGAACATGGCAGAGTAAGCCAAGGGGTCTTTAAAACTCCTCTCAGAAATGCTGACATGCTCTTTAGAGGCCTTGATGAAGATCCGGCGTTGTCCAACGGCAGCTCGTCAAAAGTTTGGGTCGCATGGTGGCTTAGCTGGGTTCAGTGGTTTTGCTTTCTTAAGATCTTGCATTCTGTGAGCTTCCTGACAAACCTGTCTGGCCTCATTATATAGGAATTTATCAAAAATCACTTCATACGCATCTACTTAAAGAAAGAACATTTTAAAAATTCCCTTCTTTCTGAGTCTAAAGTGAAGGCGGGTCCACGACTTCCTCACTCTTCATCAGATTTCACAGGCTTACATAATTAGGTATGAGATAAAAAAAAAAATTAATGAATCACAAATAGCTGCACGCAACTTGATCTCCAGTTCACCAAACGATGAGTGCCGTTTGAATGCTGCCCCCAAATTATGCCGACCACATTTATTTTATATGAAATGAAGTCAGCGAAGACACAAGAAGGAAAACCACATCAAATATCTGAATTCTCTGAAGTTAAATGTATTAGGAGTATTGACAACATGTCATATTCTATCACTGACAACATATCTTCCAAAAAACAAAATTATATAGGTGTCACTCTGTAATCCTTTTTGAGAAGCTCTGTATTGCCCGTCATCGGTGTCATAGCTGACAATGACTGTGTGATGTGTTTCCGTTCGTCACAGCACTCGTCAGGACCAGCGGCTTAAAGCAGCAGCTTCTGCCTTTTCAGACAGACATGTCCTGCTCCTTGTCTGCCCCTTGCAGATTTCAGTGTGTCTGGATTTAATTACGGCAGGACCGTGCTCATCAAATTGTTTAGGGAGAAGAAAACAGCCCTGAAGCTGGCTTTGGGATCGTCCCGCAGGGGCTGACTCGGTACATTCCAGAAAGAATGATGCCTTCAACAATCACTACAGAAGAACTGCGGCGATTAATCAAATTATATTGAGACTTAAACCATGTATTATTTATGAAGTACAATTAAGTATGCGCCTAATTAGGAGGAAAGATGAATGAATCAATAATAAACCCGTGGCATTCTACAAAACAAGTAAAATATTTCAGACCAAAACACTTACGACCAAGTAGTGTGACGTGCTGTAATTCAGCCCACCCTTACAGATCTGTGAGAGGTCTTCCTGCATTCAGCTGAAAGCTACAGTGTAGCATTCCACTGTCCCAGGGCTCTATTACATCCCTCTGAATTTTAAATACGCCTTTGGTATAACAGTGATAATGGTAGAATCTGAGCCAGAGCACCCTGGGGAATGAAGCTTACTCGCTCTCTACCTGGACGCCTTCCAGCAATGTCATTTGTTTCACTCAGCGACATGCTGTTAATCTTTTGATTGTAATCAACAGACTTTTTAGACTTGGTACATTTTCAAGTCCAGCAGAGCTCAGGAGAAAAATCGCTGGATCTGCTGAGTACATTTTTGGGCAACAAAGTGGTATGAAAATTACTATGAGCTGGATTCTGCAGAAACTCTGTAGAATCACCCCCATCCCCCACCTAACCTACTACCTCTGACGCTCAAGCACCTTATCTGTTTATTTAATTTTACAGTAAGACCTGAATGCATCTTTATATGTCATAGTCCACTGAGTGAACCATGCAAGAATTGCAATGTACTTGTACCCGTGCAAATTGCAAATAAAGTTTTGTTTAGTTTCAATTCAATTCAATTCAATTCAATTCAATTCAATTCAATTCAATTCAATTCAATTCAATTCAATTCAATTCAATGTCCTCTGCACATCAGTGACAGATGTCTGTTTCTTTTTATACATTGGGAATTACCTGCTTGTTGAGTGGTGGCTCCTTTCTGCCCCGGTGAAGAGTAAAAGGTAGACAGAGCATTCAGGGAGCTGACGAGTTGAGTCTGGATGGAGCTGATCTTGGAGGCTGGCTGCTTGAGGGTGCTGGCAATCTCAGGGTGCCCGCTGCTGAGGCATGCCCACTGTTCGGTCAGCAGGCCCTGGATCCTCGTCACGTACTGGCCGATGGCCGCGTTTGTGGCTGGCACCTCCTCTCCATCCTGCTCATAGCGCTGATGTCCTGGGTCCAACTGGCAAGGCTGCTTCAGCTCCACCAAGCAGCCAGCTTCCTCCAGAAGATCAGAGGAAGCACCTTCTTGGTCCATGGGTTCCACTGAGACATTCGGCTCCTCAGCCTTCAAAGTTTCCTCTTGAGTCTTGCGGCAAGGATCCTCCTGGGGATCCGTTTCCACAGCTTGGTCGCATACAGTCACTCCAACTTCCACATACTTCTCAGTTGTTAAAACACTTACTGAAACCGCTCTATCTTGTACCTCTATAACATCTGTTTGGGTGCTCGAGCTTGCCAGGTCTTTTAGTTGTCCACTAGTGTTGGATGACATCATTGTCTCATTGGCTGAAGCTCTTTCATAAGTCAGTGTTAGTTCTTCTGCATTTTTATTCACAGACAAATCAGAAGGTGAACCAGCAGAGAAGGATGGTGCCGTCTCTACCAAATCATCAGTTTTCTGGTCACTCTCGTCAGTATCCTCCATGTCTTCCTCAGAATAGACTCTTAACTTCTTCATTAGCTGCTTGATCCTCTCCTCCTTCACCTTATTCTCCTCAATTTTTTCACTTAGCAAAGCGTTTGTATTTTCTAGCTCGATTCTGATGTCACACAGCTGCTCTTCAAGGGCTGCTAGCTTTGCCTGAAGAGCTTGAATGATTAGAGCCTCAGAGTCTTCACCTGCTTGCTGGTATGTGGGGTCCATACCTCCCTCACTAAAAACAACATGGGTTTCTGATGCTGTTTGTTCTGGTTGGGCTGTTTTCAGTGGCTCCTCATGTCCTGGTGGTTCCTTTGTAGAAAGACTCTCCATGACTAGCCTTAAATGGGCTGCCTCTTGTATTGAGGGACTTCTCTGCATAGTCTCCACTTGTTCTACTTCTTTATGTGATGAAGGACTTTCCACTGTTACATCATTTGTAGAAGTACTTCCTTCAGCTTCCATGTTCTTGTCTGGTGTCTCTGCCAAAGGGTTCCATAACAGTTCCTCCTGGTGAAGAAGATTCTTTGACACCATTTCCTGTGTCCCCATTGCCGGTTCTGGTCCTACTGATTCCTGTTCCAAAGGCCATTCCACTCTGCTGCCATAATTTTTTGCTACTTCTGTTACCTCTGCCACTGTTACCTGTATCAAAATTTGGTCTGTAATGGAAGCTGTTTTGTCGTCTGCCCCTAACTTTGGCTCCACGAACCTCTCTGTTTCTTCTTGTCCCTCTGATTCCAGCTTATAAATCGGGTTATCATCACCAGGGACAATGAGAGGCTGCTCGACTCTTAGTTCTGCGGTAATGGTGCTAGAAACACTTGCATCTTCCAAACGATGCTGTTGAGCTGCACTCTCCCGGTGCTCACATGGCAGACACTTGTTGACCACAGGCTGGGAGTTAAGCCGCCGGAGGAGCTGCTCTTTCTCCTCCTGCAGCAATAAGATCTGGGCTTTGAGTTTTGGGATGGTTTTGACTTGCTCCTCCAGCTCGCGGACCCTCTGCAGGGCCGTGGCAAACTGTTGGTGCAGTCCTGTGTGTTCCCCAAGCACGCCGCTCCTCCTGGTTCCTACATCCAACGACCTGGAGACATTCTCAGAGGAGCCATTCTCCCTGTAAGACTCCCCAGTAGCTTGAGGTCCAAGAACCTCCGAAGACTCTGAGCTCTTCCTCATGACAGTCACTGGCATACTGGATGCCCTGAGTAGATGTGGCCTGATGTGTAAGCCCAAGGGCTGCTCATCAAAAGCTCTGATAGTGGCATCTTCCACAGCTTTATCTGATCTGTAGCTGACTCCAGGTGCCCTGGGGTAACTGGGAGACCTGCCCTCACATGGCCGAAACTCATAGATCTTCTCTACCTCCATGACGCGTGACTTCGTTTTGTGTCCAAGAGTGCAGGTTGACGCCCAGGTGTCCCTGGGCACGCTTCGTGCGGCATGGCCTGGCAGGCTGAAATTCCGAGGCAGAGTGCTGAATTTGGGGCCCTTGCTTCTCCGCTGGATGTGGACCCTCTTGATGGTGTTTCCTTTCTCGATGTCATCCACATACTTCAGGAAGTCCAGGTCGAGGTGAAACCCGTAGGGCGTTTCCACATAGTAGGGCAGCTGCTTTCGCTGGCCCCCGCTCTCAGGGGCTTTTGGAGAAAAGCCGTTTGCTGAAACATGCAAGTCACCCGCTTTAATGTCACACTTAATATTCCTGCTTTTAAGCCAAACTTGAATCGGCAACTTTTGTTTTGACTGGGAAATTCTTACAACAGCAAAGGCTTTTTTAGCAAGCAACCAGACAAAACAGATTAAAATCATATTAAACAACCAAAAAAAAAACAGACATATTTTAATGGAGTTTAAAAAACAAAACTTACCATTTTTTTTGTCCATCATTTTAATTAGTTGTGATTAGTATTCGTGATCTGAAACAAAAATCATTACAAGTAAATAAAATATGCTTATGACAAAATATGTACTAAATATCCAGTCATCATGCTGGCAGTTTCCACACTGTCATCCATCCATCCATCATATCCACTGAGTCACCATGCCACCCTCCAGTACTGTACAACATGTATTTTAGAATCTGCCAACCACAGCCTTTAATCTACTTTGCAAGGCTGTCCTATTTACATTTCAGTATATTACATATTAGGCATTAACACTAGAATAATCCAGCCAAACCTCATTGCAGCATAATCAAAAGAGCAACCATGGACATTTGTGGTCGTGAAAGCGTCTCTAAATGTACTACATTCACGTTGAGCAGCGCGTAAAATGTTCCGTTCCAGTTTTACTCATTTGTTCCAGTTACAAATGCCAACTGTTGGAAGCCATTCCTTTAGGATGGTCTTCACAAGGCAAGTATTATCAGACCAGGAAACATCCAAAATTCACTACGATGGTTTTTGTTTCTGCTATAACTACCTACAATGAGTGATATAGAAACACACACACACACATCCTTACACAAGGGCGTAACTTTCGTTTGAACATTGGGATGGTTGAGGTGCCCACGCATTTAGGGGGAGACATGATTATTGGGGGGGTATTGGCTGGTTATTGGGGTCTTTGCAACTTCCCCCCATCCCCTCCGGAGTTTACGCCCATGTACCTACATACTCAAGAAATGAAATAAGAAGACTTAAAGAAAGCCTAGATACTTAATATTCTGCATCTATCTGTTTTCCATGTTTCTCACTAAAAGTTAGAGCCAATGTTAAAAATAAAATGTGCTGTAGAGGAGATGTACTATGTCACTATGCGCCCGTGCCAAGAAACCCCAGAAGAGCACAGCACGGCCTGTATGGAGGTATGAAAGCAATATCCAGTAATTTCAACCAGATTCTGTTTTTCGTAGGAAAACACTGAAGTAGTGTTGAGAACGGTGATTAAAAAAAAATAAAGAAAAAAAACAGGAAGAGACTTTATCATTTAGATAAAGTTCATATCTGAGGAGATGTTGGTTGCCCCCTGAAATTCTACGCTCCCAAATCCATGTGTGGTCGAGGGGGGGGGGGACCTGGATGGAGAACAGTCAAGGCCAAACACCATCTGCATCAGTCTCATGCTTCGATTTAGCGTTTCTGAGAAGAACAGAAGGTTTAGTAAACGCACTCAGCGAGTGAACAGTGTTCAGCATTTAGTGCCTCAGGCGGTTGTATATGACCAATGGCGGGAAGGTCTCACCCAACCGTAATCTTTCCCAGAGAAAAACAGAAACTGAAATCATTGTGGTTTGAAGGAGGGGGGGGGGGTCCGCGGCCTGATAGGATTAACTGTGCTTTGGTGCAGATGGACCACCAGCCTGGCCCGTCGTAGGTGGACCTTGAAGGAGGGGGGGGGGGGCTTTGGATATTCTCCAGGACCAGAACGGGGCTGTCCTGAGGCTGTCCTCACCGTATACCTGAAGTGTGACGTGCTGAGAACACCTACAAGTGGAAGCGAGTGATGTAAGAGGCTGTGAGACGGTGCTCAGATGGATGGTACCAGGTGGTCAGCAGATCGCATTTACACCCGACTCCTGTTTAAATTAAGGGGGGGTTGAATTGAGCACTCGCAGAAGCAGTCAAAGACTTTATTCAGCTAAACGAAATAGCCAAACACCCAATCTACAGTTAGAGGATTAGCAGCTGAGCCCATTTCAGTGTGGCTGTATAAACACATTGTTTTCAATTACAGCACTCAATGCAATAGAAAAAGCTGCAATTTAATTAATGACAGTTAAACTCAAGAAGCTCAAAACATGGGTAGAACCAGCAGCTACCTGTATGTGCCTCTCCGGGACAGGATGCCATGCTCCTGATTGAAAGTTTGCTGGTTCAAATCTCATGGTTGTCAGAGTGGTCATACAGTATAGGTGTTGACCTGTTGAGCAAGGCCCTGAAGACTAGCAGTGTGGCTCTGACGAAGGCTGCCTCTACATATCGTTGTTTCTCAGGCTCGGTTTCACCCTAGAACTTTCTGGACTGCTGTAAGTGATGCTTTGTACAGTATTTCTCTGACTTCAAAGGGATTCCAAGTAGGAAAGAACGGTAAGAAGTTCCAGCTGATGAAACGATGTCCAAATGATGAAGAGAGCTGGCAGTAATACAACAGGTAAGAAAACAGTGAATCTACAGCGCTCTTCTCTAGTTCTTCCACATGAAAATTGCTGGATGTGTGAATGCATGAATACACTTTAATCTACAGCGCTCTTCTCTAGTTCTTCCACATGAAAACTGCTGGATGTGTGAATGCATGAATACACTTTAAACTGTTAAAATGTGTTTTTTTTCTCTAAATGATTCTAATGCTGAAAGATACCCATGAAAGGACTACTATACAAACACCAGTAATTTTTAAGTGCCTCTTTTTTCTTCAAGTGTAAAATGACAAGATCAGCCAATCAGCCTCATCCCCAGCAGCAGCTGGGTAATTTTAAAGGATCAACTGCAAAGTCAAGAAGTGAACAAGCTGCGTGACAGAGACACACAGGTGCGAGATGATGGAACAGCACAAGGACTGGTGATAGAAGTAGGCTAAATGTGCCTCATCCTCACCATATTAACCTGCCACGATATTTGCTAGCCATTATTGAGGCCATCATCGCTGTTTTAATTTTATTTCTTCGAATTAGGCATAATTCAAAGAGTACGTGTAAACAGCACTTTATTATTCACATGGAACTGTGTGTGTTTGTGTAAATGACGAATAAAATTAACCAAATTAAGTTGAGGCTTTTGCATGAGAACTGACATTCATTACGTGTCCAGTACTAATTTCTCTCAAAATAGACGAGGCAGCGTATCTGCTCTCATCCCGCTTGCACAGTCCAGCCAAGGATGTACTGTATGATGCGCTTTTCATGAAGGAAAAAACCAATGATTTAAAGTCACCGCTCTCATCGATTCTCGGTGGCTAAAATTAAATAACCCAAAATGACTGAGCACAAATTGCATGTAAACCAGCCGTGATTAAATCCGCCACTGTCGCGCCGTGTCCTGATCGAATGAACGAGCAGCCAAAGGCGGCAGGTTTGCCTCACACTGGGCAGAGCAAAACGACCCCAAACAGGCAGGTTATTTCCCACCAGATGCGGTTACATAAGGGTCGCTCCATCCCCGGGAGCAGATGAGAACAGGCGGCTGGCGTATACTGATCCCCCGGCGCTACTCCGGCATCTGTTCCCCCACATAACTTAAAATAAATAAAAGTGCCTGCAGACCATAAACGCCACACTATATACCGTGTCTGTGTCCAAAATCCGGAGACCTAGAAAAGGAGTCACATAGCCATATCAAATGCTATATTTATTATTATTACATAATGATAATAATGTTATTGAATCACATTTCCATTCAGACTTCAAATTATCCCTCACACAGCGCATTATACAGTACTGCCCATCTCATAACCGTGTCTGGCAATGGGCATGCATTTGCCAGATGAGTGAAGACGGGTTAATTCCGTTACGATGATAGTGTGCTACATCTGTGCAATAAAAACTAAGGAGTAAAAAACAGGGTGCGCCTGCCAGGCAGGCGTGGGGACGGGTATTTGGTCTATTCCCCATCTTCGGGAGCACACAGACCTGCACCTATCAGGCATGTACGGCTCAAAACAGCGAAATAACAGCGTTTATTAGCGTTCTGAGGCTTCTGGGTATAAATAATTCAGCTAATATCAAATGCATGCGCTGTTTTGTACAGCAGCAGGGTATGGATATACGGTATAAGAAATTTTACGGGACTTGAACGCTTTGAACCTAAAGAGCTACACGAGATAGACAACAATCAATCCAGGAAGAAGTAAAGTCATTTAATACATAAGAAACGGAAAACTATTTCAACGTCACGGGTAGCGACAAAAACATTATTATCTGCAATAAATACAAAACAGCAGAGATGGATAAATTTTGTGGTTTTCATAAGCAGAGATGCGCAGAGGTGCGGTTTCAGTTGCGGAGACGCTGTTTCCCCCGGTTCACCATCCATCCCGCTTGAGACGCACATTCATTTACGCGCGGAAATACCCCCACCCCATAAAAAGCCCTTTTCTGCTTGGCAACAACTCTCACTGCAGCCCACTTGCAGTAAAACCCCGCGGACTTAAAAGCATCATCCTCTGTAGGTGTGCACACCGTTACCTGTGTGTCGCGGCCAAACGCACTGATGCGAGGTGTAATTAATTAATTAGCCAACCGGGAGGGACACCAGAGCCGCCGGTGCGACATCCGCTTGCAAAGCGCCTGCCACTGTCTCCTGCATTGCAGCAGCGGCGCTGCCGCTCCGTTAATGCAACCGGCTCCGCTTGTCACACACAGGGACCCGCAGCCAAATGCAGAAAACCGAGGACGGTAAGAAATAAACGCCCGAGGGCTGCCACCAACCTCTCCTCCCAGCCGCTGTGCAGTGCAGCCGTGCACAGGACGCGCTGGCTGCAGCAGCTGCAGAGTTTCTCCGCTCCGCTACCCAGGCTTTCCCCTTTACTCTCCCCCAACTTGAACGGGGAAAAAAACACACACACAAATGCTGACCGTGCAGCTGAGAATAAGGGTCCCCAGCTGCTCGATCCGACCGTCAGGTGACAGACAACCTTGTAACTACAGCAGAGATCCAGCTTATGCAATGAGAATTACAGCTCTAATCTCTCTCATGTTTGCGTGTCAGGAATTCTGTGAAAATCCCCTTTTCCCCCTCATAGTATCCGGAGCTGGTTACTGGTCTTGGGAGATATGGAAGTCCGAGGACAATAGTCACTCTCCACAGCTTTCTCTGGAACACCGGTAAACAGTCACCACTCAGCAGCGCAATTATTGCTGCAAATATCGAGTGAATTATTAAATGGGGGCTTAAACGGTATCTTTTAACAGTCCGCCTCTTATCTGCCCAGAACACAAACACTTCGGGTGGAGTTTATGTTGGCTCATTAAGTCTTTTTACTGCTCGCAGTTGTATTTGGATTTCCAGTTCCATTCAGCTGTTGCACAGAGATCACAAAGAAGATAATTATAGTGCAATTAAACTGCCGTAAAAGTAAAAATTGCGTTATTGAAAAGCCGCCTCATTATGGAGTGGCAAAGGAAATAACTCTTTGCATTGTATTGTGGGAAAAGAAAGAATTTGTTTTTTTAAGTGCTGTCGTTAAAGCCTGAAAGACAGACAATACATGCGGTTGGTCCGACTAAGTACTTCCATGTGGGGAAACATCAAAAAAAATAAAACTATTTAGTCTGAGTTTGAGGCAGGTACACCTGACTGTCCAATGGCAGAGCCTGGAGCTGGAATCCCTGACAGCACGTTCTCCACCACTTGACTCTAGTTAGAGCTAAATTATAAACATCTAGCCTCCTACTCTGAAAGTAAGCAGCTTTCCACGGGTCGCTGCCTCCCGAACTCGGCCCCATGGGCATTTTCGTGGGCAGTGGCCTATGCTGTTTGTTTCTGGAGGGAAACCACATCCCCATTTTTGGGGGGTGCTGCCTCACACCCTTCCTCGGCCTCGTCTGGCCCAGCCGGGATTCCCCGGCTCAGTATAACTTAACCTAAAGTAAGCTAAGACTGCTCCCTTGGCGATACCCTGACAGGGATAACAAGCACAGTACAGTAGTGTCACATAAATATCTGTATGGAGCTGCAATGAAAAGCCACTGCCTCTGTTCCAGAATGTTCTTTGGACACCATGACCACGATTAAAACAAAACTGCTTATGGCACTTCTAAATAAACAAATATGCTTTATTTGCCCAAGTACAGGTGAACTGGAACGCTTTTCTTTGCCAACCCCATCTTGCTCTCCACAGCTTGGGGGGGGGGTCACAGCACAGGGTCAGCAGCCCTGGAGCTGGGGGTTAGAATTTGAATTTAGTGATTAATTGTCATTGTTGACACACCACAGCACACAGTGCACAACAACAAAATGTGTTTTCTGCATTTAATCCGTATGTGACAATGTGACATAGCAGGGGGCAGCTAATTCAGCGCCCAGGGAGCAGTGCTTGGGGGCGGTCCCTTGCTCAGGGTACCTCAGTGGTGCCTTGCTGGTCGGGGATTCGAACCTGCAATCTTTCAATTACGAGTGCGCTTCCCTAACCATTAAGACACCACTGGGGTAAAGCGGAAAAGAACATGTGACTGTTCTGCCAAGGTCAGAGCTCAAAGTGGTGATCTTCTGAGACTTTGCCCGCTGAGCCACTCTGCCTTAAGACCCAGGGCCGGTTGAGGGCCATGTGGTAAAGACCTGGTTATGGGCCACACCAACCCGGGGCTTTGTCGTGTTTTCCTTGGCAGAGCTGTGACCCCACATACCCCGCTTGAAATCAGCGGAACCACGCAGACTTGGGACGCTGTCGGCACCAAGAGGCCGATCGCTGCTCTACCGGGGTGTTTAAAAACAACACGACGTCGCCTCCGAGGACGACAGAAGGCCACAGGAAATGACAAAACGCAACTGTCAGAAAACGCAGTGCAGCTATTCCTCTCCGTATTATTTGAGATATTGTCATGCTGCGTAAACATTCTGTAGCTATTGAGGTCGCCTTGGTTACTGTGCAGGTCCTGGCGGCACAGCAGTACGGCTTTCCTCACTTATACATTTTTTTGTTCCTCTTTTTCCACCTTTCCTGTATGAGCGCCATCAAAAGACGATAAAATTGCTCAGCCATCTCCGCACAGCCCACGCCGTGCTCCGCTCCTAACGGCAATGCTGAGTCTCCGGTAATTTGATGGCTAATGGTTTGAAGTCTGCAGTACAGCCCCGTGGAGACGCATGATTTTATCTGTAGGAACTGGCGCTTGCATATTTTAAAATGAAGACCAGGCACACATTAAAAATCGGCAGCGTGCAAACATTGGTATTTAAAGTTTAAGACAAGTTTGGATCGAATGGCAGTTAAATGAAGAAATAGTGCTGTGATCTGCATCATTGATGTCTTCCTCTGTCAAGGAAACTTCCAGAAAGGTGGAAGATTTAAGCCACAGCTGGTGGAAACTTTGTTTATTATGCTTTTTTATTCATATTAGTCCAACTCCAGCAGTATTGAGAGTGTGAAATCGAGCCCCAGGAAATGTGAGCCTCCTATGGAGGCTTATAAACGATCGCTAACACCTGTGCGGGGAAAAGGCTGCCCCCCCCCCCGTTCTTGTTGCAGTGGTTCACTGTGCATACACTATCAAAGTCAGGCTGAATTGAGACTTGCTTCAGCCTGGACACATCGCATTTCTGGCCTCCAAATTATACTTATGAATCAAAACCCTGCAGCAGGAATAGCTGACTTTTTCACCCAAAGCAACTTGCCATATTTAGCTAAGCAAACTGTCCGATATTTCTCTAGAACAATTCAGGTAAGAGCCACCTCAAGGGTACAACAGCAACTCCATTCCCAGTACAAGCCACTGAACAACAGGTTGTGATGCTGCACGATGTAATGGAGAGACTTTGAAGGACAGAAGGAGCATGGATGCTCCAAAGGACACCTTTACATACCATCCATCCATTCATAACCCCATATCCAATATTGTGGTGAACCTGAAGTCTTTCCCAGTAAGCACAAGACAGGGGGCACCATGGCTGGGAAGCCAGTGCATTAGGACACACACATGCACACACTGAGGGCAATTTAGAGACACCAATACTCGTAATCCCCTGTTTTTTTTGGACTCCAGGAGAGGAAAGCCATGCAAAATTCACACCAACACAGAAAAAAATATAAATAATAAACTGCAGCCAATTTTGTATGAATCTGGTGAAAAAGCCAGTTGTAGATGGTCATGTCCTAATTATTGGGGGTGTGGCCTAATTCTTGGGGGTGTGGCCTCTTACACCTGCCAAGATCACATGGCCGCCTCTGTCAGTAGCTACCCGGGTGTAGCAATAAGCAATGGGTGACAGACTAGACGATAAAGCGTCCGAGTGTCACCCAGACCTGCCCCGCCCCTGGCCGGCAGGATAATCTCTTAATCTCCGCGCTTGCAGTTTGACAGCCCACACCTGGGGTGGCACTGGTGAATGATCTTCTCACACATGCAGCGCCGGTACGAGGCAGCTGGCAGGCGGCAGCGGTTCACGTCGTTATGGAGACGGACTATTCAGCCCTTACTGTGCGACACAAGCAGGAAGACAGCAGCAATCAACTGTCACCAACAGCCTTCACATACAGGATACTAACCCGACAATGCTGAACATGAGTCAATCGCTACACGTAGTTAACAGGAGCCTATTTCAATGGGGATCCGTATCACAGGCGAGGGACTGAGAGCTCTGCAGTGCAAATAAGCAGCTTCCCTAGCATTTAGGGGAAGAGAAGCCGATTAGCGTGCAGCTCAGGAGAGATCAGATGGCGGCTGCAGTCAGTCTGGCTGCTCTTTACAGTCTGGATACCTCACCCACTTCCATATAGGGGGGCATCTTAGACTCGCCGCTTATTACATCTTTAATTATTTAACAATAAATCACCCGGGATGCAAAAAGGCCCAATCGTCCTGGCTGGATGGCGCTGTGAAGAGGGAGCAGGGAAAAGCAGCATTTTCATTCTGTTTACCTTTCAGATACTTTCTCTGGTACAGACACATATAATCGCTCTCTTTCCTGACCCATCCAATCTACAATGCAAGTCAAGTAAAAAAAAGGTAATCCATATTAAAGCTGTTGTTTATATGACGTAATTATAGAGGTAAGTTGCAGAATAAAGGACACTTAAGTTAATAAGGAAACGTTATGGCTTCTGAGTGAATTACACAGCTCGCGTCGATATTTGGGGCCATTTATTTGTACAAAGTCAATCAATGGAACATGTGCTATTATGCAAAAACACCCTCACTGCTGCAGTTTGGAGCCCCCACTCCAGTGCCAATCTGTTATATTGTAAAATCCCTTTTGAAAGGATCCTTCCCTGGAATAAAGAAAAGCCGAAGAAGAGTAAATCAGTGTAAATTCTTCTACCAGGAAACACTATGACCTGGTTGCTATGGAGCTCATACAATGTCTGGAATCAGGCACATACGTGTGTGCATGCGTCAACACCTGTTGGGTACTATACACACATGTGCACACTGCATGGGCTGGGAATGCAGTTGGCAAGCGATGCAGGCCAAAGACTCCCCACCCATCCATCCAGTGCTCTCAAGCTACACCCACTCCCTGCACAAACAGGCACGGCATCACGTTCCGGCCAGACTGGGACAGCTGGCAGTGGGTTAGGGCCCAGCAATGCCCCAGAGCACCTGCTTCAGAGTGGGGGCGGCACCCAGGGGTGAGTCACTGCCCCCAATCTCTCTGTGACATCGGCACACAAAAAGCACTGGTATCTGATCATTTTGCTCTATGTTACTATTGCATACAAGCCTTTTGCCTACTGTCTAAGTTATGGAACCAATCCATTAATTTTTCAACTGGTTATCCAGCTCAGGGTTACGGGGTGGGGGCAGGATGCCAGTCCATCACAGGGCTGGGGGACACTCTGGACAGGATGCCAGTCGATCACAGAGAACACACACACACACATACACACGCTATGGAAACAGGACAGGTCAAGGGAAATCCGTGCAACATGGGGGAAACATGCAAACCAAACACACAGAGCAGAGGTGGGATTTGAACCCATAACATTAGTGCAGCCCAATGAGCCACCAACATAAACCTTCCATCTTATTAAAATGGTGCACAGTACCTTAAATGAGGAGCACACCTGAAAAAGTTTAACAAATAAAACAAAAAATGTGTTTAATCGAGTGACTTAACTCTCACATGCTTAAGATTAATTAATTAAGATTAATCTTTGTTTTCTTTTCTCACATGCTCCTTCCATGTTGTCAGCTAAAAGCGCTAACGGGGCTGCAGTCTCCATCAGGGCCA